AAAAAAAAAAAAAAAAAGGCCACAGTAATGTCACAAAAGACAGGAGGAATTGGGACCTGTAAGCTCCAAAACCAAAAAGCCAAAGATCTCTTCAAGGACAAAGCCCCGTAATGAAAAAGAAATGCCACATGTGTTTCTTTAAAAAGGGACAATAAGGACAGAAGGAAGAGAAAAAATAAAGCTATGGTTAGAGGCAGAAATGAGAACCTGGCATCTCAGAAAGCAGTAGCTTTATTTTTGAAAACTTTACAAAAATAATAGAATAGGGACCACTAAAGCTACCAAGCTGAAAAGATAGGAGGAAAATTGTTGTTGTTACTGTTAGGTGCCCTCAAGTTGTCTCTAATTCATAGCAACCCTATGCACAGCAGAACGAAACACTGCCTGGTCCTGAGCCAGCTCCACCATTCTTGCTATACTTGAGCCCATCACTGCTGGCACCATGTCAATCCATCTCGTTGAGGGCCTTCCCCACTTTCATTGACCTTCCACCTTACCAAGCATGACATCCTTCTCCAGGGAATGGTCCCTTCTAACAACATGACCAAAGTATATGAGACAAACTCTGGCCATTCTCATCTCCAAGGAGCATTTTGGGCTGCACTTCCTCCAGGACAGACCTGTTAGTTCTTTCAGCAGTCCAGGGTACTTTCAGCATTATTTGCCAACACCACAACTCAAAAGTATCAACTCTTCTTTGGTCCTCCTTATTCATTGTCCAGCAGTCACATGCATATGAGGCGAGTGAAAATATTATGGCTTGTGTCAGGTGCACCTTAGTCCTCAAGGAGACATCTTTCCTCTTCAGCACTTACAAGAGGTCCTTTGCAGCTGATTTGCCCAGCGCTATACATCATCTGATGTCCTGACTGCTGCTTCCATTGGCATCAATTGTAGAACCAAGTAATGTGAAGCTTTGACAACTGAAATCTTTTCTCCATTTATTGGAATGCTGCTTATAGGTCCAATTGTGAGAATTTTTGTTTTCTTTATATTGAGATATAATCCATACTGCACACTGTATTCATCAATCTTCATCAGTAACTACTTCAAGTCATCCTCACTTTCAGCAAGCAAAGTTCTGTTATCAGTGTATCTCAGGTTGTTAATAATTCTTCCTCCAATCCTGATGCCACGTTCTTCTTCATACAGTCCAGCCTCTATTATTCACGCAGCTTAAAGACTAAGTATGGTGAAAGGATACAACACTAACACACTCCCTTCTTGATTTTAAGTCATGCAGTGTTCCTTTTTCTGTTCAAATGACAGCCTCCTGATCTATGTACAGGTTCCTTATGAGTGTTCTGGAATTCCCATTCTTCTCAATTTTATCCACAATTTGTTATGATCCACACAATCAAATGCTTTTGCATAGTCAATAAAACACAAAAAAACATCTTTCTGGTATTCTTTGCTTTGAGCCAAGATCCATCTGACATCAGCAATGATATCCCACGTTTCATGTCCTCTTCTGAAACCATCTTGTATTTCTGGACATTCTCTGTCAATATACTGCTGCAACCATTTTGAAATTACCTTCAGTAAGATTTTACTTGCATGCAATATTAATGACATCATTCAACAATTTCCACATTCTGTGGGATCACCTTGCTTGTAATGGGTACAAATATGGATCTCTTCCAGTCAGTTGGCCAGGTAGCTGCCTTCCAAACCTCTTTGCATAACTGAGTGAGTGCCTCCAGTGGGGCATCCATTTGTCAAAACATCTCAATGGGTATTCCATCGATTCCTGGAGCCTTGTTCTTTGCCAATTCTTTCAGTGCAGCTTTGACTTTTTCCTTCAATACCATTGGTTCTTGAACATATGCCACCTCCTGAAATGGATGAAGATCGACCAGTTCTTTTTGG